ACAGGGTCTTGCTGAGTTGCTTCGGGCCTCTAAGTTGCTGAGGCCAGCTTTGAACTTGAGATCCTCCTGCTTCAGCCTCCCCCACCTGGCAATTATGACTATTCTTAATGCTGCTGAACTAGACATTCAAATGGTTCAGATGGTAAATTTTATATTATAGTATTTATCAACAATTTTAAAAACTATTTTTTTTAAGAAAAAGGAAGATGTATATACTTATTTCTGAGTGGTTAATGTGTGTACAGGATGCAAAACACATTAGGGTACTCCATCCACTGGGGTACTCATCCACCCCACCCCATCCTGGTTCCCTCCTGGGGACCCATGGGATTGTTAATTTCCCATTTCCCATGTTTCCTTTCTGAGATAGTTTATGCATTTACAAACACATTGAAAGTGTCTTTCTTTCTTTTACATTTTGCATTACACACTTGGCTTTTTAAATTTTTGTTATTTATTTATTCATTCAGAGGCTCAGACTGGACTTGAACTCTTTTTTTTTTTTTTTTTTGTACCAGGGACTGAATGCAGTGGTGCTTTATGACTGAGCCCATCCCCAGCCTGTTTCCCTCCCTGAGCCTGTTTTATCTGTTTTGTATTTTATTTAGAGACAGAGTCTTAAAGAGTTGCTTAGAACCTTGTTGTTGCTGAGGCTGGCTTTGAACTCGCCATCCTCCTGCCCCAGCCTCTGGAGCTGCTGGGATTTTAGTGTGTGTCCCTGTACCTGGCACTCAGGGTGTTTTCAAGGTTCACCCACATTGTGGCATGTGTCCATATTACACTCTCTTTTTTAGGGCTGAGTAATATTCTATAGTATAAATTATGCCACAGTTTACTTCCTCATTGCTGGGAATTTGTTTCACTCAACCTTTTAGCCACTGTGAATGGTGCTGTCATGAACATTGTGAACACGTGTCTTCAGTTGCTCTGGTTCTATATCTAGGAGTGGAATTACTTGGTCCTAAATTAAATCTGTATTTAACTTCCCGAGGAACTGCCAAGCTGTTCCGCAGCAGCTGCCTGCTTTATTGTACTTGACTTTTCAGTGAGGTGGGAGTTTTGTTGTTTGTTGTGATGTTGGAGATGGAACCCGGGGTCTCCTGCATGTTGGGCAAGCACCCTACCCAGGGGCCACCCCCCCCATACTCCCCACC